TGTATTTTAAGCTATGCTTAACTTTAAGCTCTGAGCAATTCGGCGCTTCGCAACCACAAGTTTGTTGTTGTTTGCCCGTTTCCTCTTTTGCTTTTTTCGAATTGTTACGGAATATTCGCTCTCAAACTTTGCATGCGTTTCGGATGCATAGACGGGTAAATGACCGAGGTCGGTGTCCCTTGCAGACAGATTGCTGATCAATTTCGACAATGCGCTGATGAGTCATTCTATTAATTATATGCTTAGGAGCAAGTTTATGAACTGTTTTGACAAGACAATTCTGCTCTATTATTGCTTTTAGAACGCCATAAAGTTTTTCAAGATTTAGCACCTTAGCACTAATATCATCAATTTTTGAGTGAGAATCATAAGACACGACACACTACCATAATAGATTTGTATTGCAGTATTGCACTCAACAAAAATGCGAAACGGCATAACGGATTAGAAAATCACGACTGAACGCAGCGAAGGCTGATGTTCGAATGATGATACATTAGCAGTCTTGAGAACTTCAACGAGTGTGATGCCATCAGTTCCCTTAACCAATTGAAGTTCTCTAGCTAGCGGCCATTTCAAAAGACGTAGGTTCTCGTCATTAAGAGCTACACCAGGACTGGGAGTCTGTCATTTCAAACGCTGTTGAAGAAGATTTAAATATTCTTCTCGCCAGCGAGACCAAAAGACTTATTTTATGTAGCTATCCAGACGATAGTTGGAGGCTTTGTCAAACCAAATCTGACGCGGCTTGCCACGAGCGCATATAAAGCGCTTTGTAGCATTGAGAAATTTACACGTAGATAGATCCTTGACGAACTCCAAATGAATGAATGGCTTTCGTGGCGAAGCAAATAAATAAGCTGCTGTAGCATTTTTGTTTCGAGTTTCAGACTTGTATGGAATGGTCCGCAGAAGTCCACTCCAGTTATATTATACACGCGAATCTCAACAATTCGCTTCTTCTAAAAGAATTACGTGCTTCATCGAGCGGGGCTTGCTCCGGAATCTTCGAATGCATTTGTTTACTATGCTGTAAGCTGTAAACCTTTTGAGCGTCTCGTATGTCGGATAAACTTGTACATATAAGCAATGACTCGCTGAATGGCAGAAAAAGAAGCGCCTTAATATTTTACCATTTGCAGGATCTTTGATGAGCAGCACTCTTTTGCGTTTTGGTTTTTCAAGACGCATTGAAAGTTTGGCAAAGTTCCAGCCAGGCAGTATTTAGAGAGGTTTAAAGACTCTCATCCCACGCCAATTAATTTATTTATCATTTGAAGGATCCCAAGCAAGCCCCAAAGTTTTGGCTAAGACGCTTCCATCACTACGTTTTAAGAACGAGTCCTTATCCTTGTTAGAAACTCCATTTACTACTGCAGAGTGACTCGAGAACCATTTTCTGATTTCAAAGCAACCTTTAGAGATGATGCCCTTTGATTGATTTAATCGATCGCCGCTTGGGCCGAGGCACCGCCAGATATAAAGTCATCTACATAGAAATGTCGTCGAAAAATTTTGACACCAGTTGGTAATGAATGCTGCTCGTCGACTGCCAATTGCTGCATTGCTCGAACTGCAAGAAAGGAGGCTGGTTTCGTGCCATACTTAGCTGTGTCCAGCTTGAAGACACTTTTTTCAGAATCAGTAGAATTTCGCCACAAGACACAGAGTACCTCTGACATAGCGATATATCTTGCCAGTGTCTCCAGAAAGGGCAACAGAAAACGTACGAAATCACATTAAAATTTTAAACAACATCGGTTGTATGACTGGCCCAGCCATCAACACTTCCTTCAGCCATCAGACTCACTTCGGGCATCATACTATCATACCCCACCAAAATAGGGGTACCGCCTTGCTGGGAACCGCCAGCTGCAGCTATCCATTCAAGGAGTTTCTTCTGCAGAAGAGGCGATCCCAGTTTTATTTGCCCGACACACATTAGCTCGTAGAAAAGACCAGCTCCGACTAATAGGTCAACTCTCTGCAGCTTGTAAAAGCAAGAAGCAGCAAAATAAATATATCCGGTCATATTACAGTTTGTTGTATTAAGGGCGATTCTTGGCTGGCGATCTGCTATAGTGGAAGCTACGAGAAAGCTGACGTTTGAGATTGTAGATTGTTACAGTGCATCCGTCAGTAACGAAAGGAACGTTTCCCGGGCCAGCAACTGCAGCTGAAGATGGACTGTTCTTCAACTGAAGCTGTTGAGCGAATCGGGACGTAATTAAATGCAGTTGTGACACACTCTCTAGGGTTCAGCAGCGTTGCTACAAAAATGTGGAAATTTCTGCCCATGACGGAATTGAATTTGCAAAGGCCGGATCCTTCAGGATCCCTTCCCAGTTCGCCGGCGTAACAGGATCCAGTTTTTGCAGTAGCACCAGTACAATGATGCAACCAGCAATTTACTCCTTGCTACCCAAACTGGTGAGAGCGCGGGCATGGCAGCGGAGCCATTCTCTACCTTCTTGAGCCCCATCAGCTCAACAATTTTTGCCTGAAATACTAATTTACGGTTATCAAATCGTTTGTGTAATAAATGTTATGTAATTGAATAATTAGCCTCTGATATTTCCAATGATCGAATGGCATCCAGCGCAGATTCCATCAAGCAGAGCCGCAAATGCTGAATTTTTTCAATGTTTGTAAGTTCGGGATGATTTTCAATTATAATTGTGAACATTGAAAAGAAATCTACCCACTACGTATAAGCTCCAGACAACGTTGGCAATTTGATGGGCTGTAAGGTCGGCAACGCCGACTAGTCATTTACGCAGCAGCAATAGGCTCATTTACAAATCTGGACCTGGACGGCAATACTCAACTGAGCTTAGCGATTTCAAACGCATCGAAGTCTCCAAAGTTACTGCAAGCTCACCAAAAACCTCGGGTAACTCACTGCCGACATCATCAAAGTCTAGATCTACCAGTTTGCTTTGAGTGTCTTCAAGTGCATTTTTTCAATATTTTTGAATAGGACCGACAATGCAATTTTATCAGTGTTGGCAAGTGGCGTTTGGTTGTGGTTAGATTGTAGTTCATATAGTTCAATGACATGCTGTTTGTAGGCTGGGTCAGCGATTCAGCAAAGGAAAATAATTTTATGCAACAATACAATGTTAAAAATCCGACGTGGTCACCAAAAAATTGGGATTACAAGCCTTTTTATTAGAATAGCGAGAAGTTTAGGCTTTTTCTTATAAATTCATGCAACAGCTTGATTTATTTATATGCTTATGGCGAGCGTATTAAAATTATGCGAATGTAAAATTTTTAGCGAGGCGATCTATAAGAAATCCACAATAACGAACGCACGAGTCAAAAATGAATTGCATGGGTGCTATAGCCGCTAAAGACAAAAGTGCAAAAGGTAAAAGCGCGCGATAACAGAAACGACAAGAAGCGCTAGATAGTTAACAGTTAATAATATTGAACTATTTTATAATATGCGAGAAGCAAACAACATAGTTACATTGCTTGCCTCGTAGTGCAAGATGTAACTGATATGTTATTAAAAAAATACATGTTCTAGGCATAAAAGCAATAGTACACTGCATAATACATTTTTAGGGTTATCTTATATGTTAAGATAGGCCATTTAGTCATTGGGTTATCTTTACACTCAAGTTCTTCCACGTAAATTGTGTTTCTCGTAGACACTATTTAAACTGCACCACACATAAGTTTTCAAATCTGACCGAAAAATCGCATTCACAGTATTTCACAGACTTTCGTTAGAATCGAGTTGGAGTAGTCCTCATAGGCTTAAGAAGTTCGACAATTTCGCGTTCGACCCAAAGATTCTGCATCACACAACGCCAGCGGCCAGATCGTCCATATCTTGATATCACTCGAACTTGTCCAAAACGCACCTCAGTACACAAAATGCATTCATATATCAACACAAATTTGGGATAGGCCATGATCTGCGCTAGAAAACTAACAAAATTAATTTCTTGCCAGCTAAAGCCAGAGCAATGAATAACAACACATACATACATACATACTTTATAGTTCTTATGCATGTATAATTCACGCATGCAACGAAAGGTGCACGCATGCTATTGGCTGAGACAAGAACTTTTCTCGAGCATACACTGTCCAAAAAGAAAAGTCAAATCAATCTATGTGTGCTATTTTCTTAACATAGTTATTGCGCAAGAAGCGCCTTGTGTAAAAATTATATAAGTTCTTAAACTTTCCTGTAAAATTATTGGTTAATATCTAGGGTAATATATCATTTAAATAAAGCATGCATTTCATGGATAAGGCACAAGCACTTTGCGTCGATCGTAAGTTCTAAACTTTTTCGCTCAATGTACTTCGAGAACGAAGCGACGCAAAGCAGCATCGACCAGCTTTGCTAAAAGCAGGCTGGCGACTAACTTCGTAGCTCATGTCAGCATCAGCAAGCTGCGACTTCGGCATTCGTTCGTCTGGCCTTTGGAGAACGAACAACCAGTCGGCAGGCATGCCGTACGAAGCCTCAAAGGCCAGGCTAGAAATTTTGCGTCGTATTCAAATGTGTTTATATTGTCTTTGGCTAGATCGACTCGGCTGTTGATGCTGATCAAGAATATAAGTATGTACTTTATGGGGTTGGAGATGCTTCATTCTGCCTGTTAGATACATTTGCTCAAATACACTATACCAATTTTACCCATAAGAAATACATATGACTTATGTGATCGAACGGCATAGCTGCTCATTTAATTCAGTTACACTACAGGTAACTTCTTTGGCTTACTCAATTCCATATGACTTGTGTGATAGACCGGCCTCGCTGCCCTTCGTTTTCGCTCTCACTACATGAAAGTGCCTCGGCTTACTCTCAGTGCTTTTTTAATTTGTCTTCTCACCGATTTACTGTCTGTGTGTATGTGCCCGCACAAGCAAAAATGACGAGAGGAAAATAATAAAGATTTTTTATATATATATTTTTATTTATATATTGAAATATGATGCAAAGCACAAACAGACACAACTACGCTTTAAATAAATTATAATTTGTTACTAAATATTTGTATATCTGTTTAGGAAACTTCGATGTTTTATTCTTTTTAAAGTGGTCGCGGTCAAAATTTTCGTTCCTTCTTTTTCAACTTTGTAGTGAGTTGGATGAACTCTAAATTATCAAGTTAAATAAAAGACTATTGTACGTTTAATAAGCTGCACTGTTTTATTTCGACAGAATTGAAAAACTACAAGAATGGCGACTGGACAATTTTTTAAGCTACATTATTTAAAAGTTTCGTAGCAGCCACATAACTGCAGGGTAGCGATCGTCTGGAAATGCAGCATATTTTGCGGCATGAACATTCCGCACCCTTTCAAATCCTATTGCAAATAGAGGTCCTTGGCAAGGAGAGGGTTAAGGTTTCATGTCGGGAGTCACTGGATCTTTTTCGGAGATGAACCAAACCGAAGATAGTGTTCTGTGCTACCGGCAGACCGTCTTGGCTGGTTGCCAGACACAGGCAGATTATTTGCGGATAAAGAAATCGGCATCCGCCAAGATATTCTCCAGTTTTTTCTAATGGACTCGTCCATTGGTTTTATAGCGGTCAGAATCTGGATTTGATTCTTCGTCTGGAAAATAGCTTATATTTTCGAGCCTTCAGTCCCCTTAGCGCTGATGAAAGCAGTACAAACACCTTCTGTACCGATGCGAGTGACGGAAAGCCCAAGTGTCGCTGCCAAGGATGCATCGATGCGACTCGATGGACTGCACTGACTATGTGAGATTTTCGAGGCGTAGCTCTTCATTAGCTTCATGGACTGATCAATAAGAATTTGCCATTGGGATTGGGCCGATTGTAGCCATTCTGGTCCATGCCACCACAGATCATTGGCCACGAGGTCGCATGATGGAACACCTCAGCTAGCCAAATCAGCGGGGTTGCATTCGGAACGAACGTGAGACCATTTGCTGGAGTTGCTGGATTGTACAATCTAGGTGACTATTAGCCATAAAATTTGTCCATTTGGCAGCTTTGCCTTAGGGGAAGATTGAACCCATCCGGGTATGCGTATCTTATTGAGTGTTGCATAACTCTCGAGGAATGCTCGCCATCTTTGTAGAAATTGGCTTGGCAATGATTCGTCACAATCCAGATCATGAACAGACATCATCTCGCAAATTTATTTTAACTAAATTTCTGATGACTTAACTGGCTAGTTTGAGGAATCGTTGCTACATTTAAGGCTGCACTTTTATAAAATTTAGAGTAAACTTAAACAATAAACAGCACATAGTACGCACTGATTAAGACCTTTCTCAGCGGAATGATTTACTCATTGGATCAGTTTAGTTTAATCAGTTCTCTTATGATCAGTTTACCTTTGCTAAATATTTGGCATGGCTACAAAATACTCTGTAGGTTGTATAGCATCGGATTAGTTATGGCTGATTGTAAGGCAATGGGCCTGAAGTGCATATATCCCTGCACCTACCTTGTGTTTGACTCAAACCAAGCCACTTCAGACCGTTGCCGGCATCGGCACTGTTCAGTGCGACCCATTCCAAGACAAGACTATCGTGCGCAAAAACATTGCTTTCCATCTAAGCCTGTTTGGATAGGACCCTCAAAAGATGTTAAGTAACCCATGGGCATAATAGATGGATCTGATATGGATAATGATACGAACTTTCACGTTCCAAAACCATGTAGATGGAACATATTCTAATAAGAACCGTAGAGGATCTTGAGAAATTGCAAGCATATTCTGTATTTCCTGTATTTCTCCTCATTTCACCATTTTCCACTCAATGACACGATCATTGCGCTCATTACTCACACAGTCAATGGGTTTGGCTATTCTAAAAGCAGATCATTTAGATCACTTCCAACTCCGCATAAACTGTAGTTGTAATAACACTATGCAACAGCCAAGGCGCGTTAAGGTTGTAACCTTTCTGGTTCATTAGGAATACTAAATAATGGCAATATATTTAGTAAATCTTAACTGAATTTAATGATCGATATGTTTAAGAACACCTTATTAATCCGTATATATTTTTTCTAGTTTCCATTAAATTTATACATAATTAATTTACTTATTCACATAATATAATTTTTACTGGTCCATTGGTAATTTATTTTCGTTTTAAGGCGGTCGGTGATGTTCTAATAGAACGTCCAATAAAACTGTTTGTACTTGTCGATATTAGGACATAAAATCTGGGGAAAAACTGAATTACAAAATACACAGCCGAGAGGTAACTTGATATAGCAATAGTTAGAAAAAGATCAAATATAGCTGGCTTAACGCGATAAATACTAAGTTTTGCATCAATGCTGTTATAAAACATGAAGTCAGGCTCACGTTCATCTGGCTTGTCATAAAATATTTTAACATTTTTTAGGTACTTTTCAAACCCATCCCTGATGTCGTTATTTTGCAAAATCGATTTTAATCCAAGGTATGGTCGAATATTATCTTCAGTAATTACCTGTAATTAAGCCGAATTCAATCAGAATCATATAAACAGATAACATTTAATTAAACTTACAGCATGTCCCTTAAAAATATCAGAGAATGGATCTATTTTATACATATAGCAAGCAAGCGACTCGGCAAGGATCTTCACGGAAGTAATTAGTTTCTCCACTATATACGATTCATTGTTTTTAAACATTGTCGTTCGAAATGGACTTCCTGGTGATTTCGCCGAAGATAATGTAAACGCTGGATATCGCTTCATACAGAAACGCTCATGCTCCCATGATAATTTCGAATCGGCCAGGTTTATTTTTTTATGAACTCCCTCAACGGTTAGGTTGTCAGAGTAATGACCAGCGACTGACTTAAGAAGCTTAAAGTAATTGCTTATAGAAGTTTTTTCTTTTGGCGGTTTTGAAACATGCATGTATAACACATTCGGTTGATTGTTTATTAAGCTTTGAGTTATAGTATCCAGACATAAAACAAACTCAACATTCTGAAAAAGGTAAATGAAAAATTTAATGATATTTATTTATTTTCACATTATGATTTAAATATTTATTTAGTACTTCAATGCATATAAGGATTGTTCGTTGTGTGTAAAACGGAATCTGTATTACAGAAGCTCGAAGTTTATAAGTTTATGCCCATAATTTTAAATAATCATGTTTTAATATCCTAAGCCCATAGAAAATCAGTAAAACGAGTATAATGGTATTGTGGAAATGTATGTAACAGGCAGAAGGAGTATTAAGTATTAAGGACGCCGTAATGTAGATATAAACCGGATCAGCATCAACAGTGATATGCTTAGATCGATCTGGTTTAATGCTTTTTCTTAAAAAATTGGGTCCCTAAATAAAAATAATTTTTTTAAAGCATCCTTTTTAAAATATTTTAAAGAAGTTTACGGTTCTGCCTTGTAGCCATAGCTTTCGCCTATGCTAATCATACGATACGATACGTTTAAGCAGATTAAATTCAAAACAAAGTAATTAAATTTGTCATTTTAATTTTTTTATTATTAGGTCAAAAAGCTAAATAAACTTCAGCATAGATTTTCTGCCAACTCTCCATAACCCATTTTCGGAGGGAATACATATGGAATATAGAAAATAATATTCGGAAATTAAACTTTTGTATGAAAACCGACATTACTAGTTTTTAATGTTATACACAAACGAGAAAATTGGCTATCTTCGGCACGTGCCGTGTTTAATCAAAATATCATGAATGACAAAAAAATTTCGCATACAACGACTTAATTTTCGACCGATCGTCCCTATGGCAGCTATATGATATAATGTACCAATCTTAATAGGATTTCACATTTACATGGAGAGCATAGTAAAACTAATAAATGCCGATTTTGGTCAAGATATCTTTAAAAACAAAATGTTTATTCATTCAACTTAACTTTCGACCGATATCAAGCAGCTTTACGATACAGTTTTCCGATCTTAATAGGATTTTGCAAATATATGTGAGGAGGAGTTCCTATGGCATCTATTTGATATACTAGCCCGATCTAGCTGGTTTTGGCATATGTACTGAGTGCAACAGAAAGAGGGACTTCTGCAAAGGTTTATTAAAATAGCTATGAAATTGTAAGACTAGTTCGCATAGAAACAGACAGACAGGCATGGCTATATCGACTCGGCTGTTGAAGAATATATATACTTTGTCGGGTCGGAGATGTCTCCTTCTATGCGTTACATATTTCAAAAAAAATTATAATACCCTCTGCAAGGATACCCTTGCAAGAGGGCGAATAGATTCGCTTAATGTTGTTTATGACACATAATAAACAATAATTACCTGTAAAGCTATATTGTCATCCATTTCTAGCCATTTTTTCGATCCCTGAAAATTGAGTAACAATCCAGAATCTGAAAGCAAGAATCCCAAGCGGTATTTTGGTATCGTACCCATAGTGGTATGTAGCTTGCTAAACATTTCTATAAGTGCCATTAACACCGCGGAATCAGCATTTAAGGGATAATCCTGAAAAAAAAAATATAATAATAACATGATTTTATTGATTATAATATGGTATTTATAAAAAATAATTTAAGACAGAGCCAACAACTTAGGTTTCCGTGTTTGTGAATTTCTTAATTAATTGCTTAATATATTTATTCTGAAACAAGTATATCGTATTGAGAATGAATAAAAGAAAGAGGCTCTAGTCGGGAGCTCCCGACTAGGGGATACCCTGAACCATCTTATTCCAACATCAAATGCATATATATATTCTATTTAAGCTATATGTCAAGGTTGGTGACTCTAGCTCTTATTATTTTCCAAAAATGCCCAAAAAAACAGGATATCGGTATCGATTTGTATCGATTGCTTGGAAACAGAGTAAGTTATCGATTATCGGAAACAAACTATCTGCTCAGGCGCACCTTGGAGCACCTACATCTAAAATTTCAAGTCTCTAGCTCTTATAGGTTCTGAGATCCTTGCGTTCAGTTTATACATACGGACAGACAGACAGACGGACATGGCTAGATCGACTTGGTGCTGATCAAGAATATATATATACTTTATGGAGTCGGAGATGCTTCCTTCTCCCTGTTACATACATTTGGGTTTGCACAAATACAATATACCCCTATACCCATTCAGGGTATAAAAATGACCTCATCCCAAATAAATTAATTTTAATTCAAATGTAATATAATATTTTAATATCTTCTTAACGAATAGTCAGCATTCCATCATTCTGTAGCACAAATAAAGAAAACTTGTCCATATTTTAATAGGTTAAGGACATAGCAAAATAAATTTTGCCTAATCGCAAATTGCACTCCCACAACTTTAGGATCATGAGATAAACAAAAGTACCCAAAATATTCAACATCGTGTCAAAACAAGTAAAAATCCTCTTTAACCCAACACCAAATGCAGCTCTCGCAACCACCTCGTTTGCTTTAGGAATAATACAAAATAATTAAAATAAAGAAAGTTTCCTCAACTGGTCTTGAACCCCTAACCTACTAAACAATGCAAACAATTGATTTTCAATTGAAAAAAAAAACAAACGCAAACACGTGTTAATTTGAAATGTTTTCTTTTATATCTTTTGTTTCTTAACCGATCACTAGTAAACGATTGGGAGTAGATCTTATTGTGCGACGGAATATTATCAATTTGGTTTATTGATTAATTTGGTTTATATATAGCTACGGGAAGGAACCGAGAAGGAGCGTGACAATAGGTATAAAGAAATACTTGAGGTGTATACTAGTCTAGAAGCTACACGTCCAGTTTGGTATTACTAACATCTAAAACCTAAGAGATTTGATAAAAAAACAGAATTTCGATATCGATCTTTATCTATTGCTTGACCACAGGAAAGTATCGATTATCGAAAACAAACTTGTATTGTGCAGCCACTAGAAATTACGAATTTCTCTAGTTCAATTGCTGCGCAATGCCTGTGACAAACGCAGGACAAATGGGCTTACCATTTTTAACATTTTAACGGGTTTTTCCAAATTAATTTTTCTAATTTCAGGTAAACAGTCGTGTCTTACCGTAACTTAAACATAATATTTTTCTTTTCTTAATTTACCAATGATCAAGTAGTTCATGGAATTTAGGTTTCTTTCTGTCTCAGTATACGTCATCTTGCACGACGGACACCATTTTTTTTTCAACTCGAACAGGACAAATAATGTTTAAATATGTAGGATCGAACGGCAACCCATTTAGGGAACAGATGCTAGAGGCAGGCCTGGTATGAATGTGTGATAAACAGATGTCAAACACCAATTAAAAAAAATAATAAACTGGTAACATTGAAGGCACTTCGAAAAGATTTTACCGACCGTGTTGCTTGTTGCACCCGGCAGATCCATAGATTCAGTAAAAAGGGGGCTTCTGGACCCACATACGGCACACCAAGGGAGAATCAAACAGACCCAAAAACACAGACAAGAACCCTGCAACGTCGGACAACTAGTAACACCCCAAGGGACGAAACTGTCACTTGCACTTGGGTTACTTCTATGTAGAGATCAGGAAGGACTGCACGACGTAAGCTCTACTGCCAAGAGTTTGGGGAGTGCCCTGACGATCGTAACAAAATGAGAGAGCGACTGGAGACGAACATTTCGAACATCTCCCCAGTCCAATGGGCAAAAGTTCGTACCTGTCATGGAGATTGTTCTGTACCATGTGCTAAATAACTAGCTGATTGATGTATAAGTCGAACAGTAACTTTGTGATTTTGTGCTAAATTAGGGTTTTGGATAATTACAAAAGCATAAAAAATCGCAAAAGGTGGCTGCATCTAAGGTGATTAGAAAATGTATCGTGCTAAGTCGCGATTATTTAAGCAGATTATGCCTGATCTTCCCAAAAACCGTTTGACTGGCTGTTAAGAATTTGTAGTTGTGGGCCATTTTTCTAAGCCAGACGTAAAAAATAAAGCTTCTGTCGTTCTAGGTTCACCTTTAATGTGCTTTTGGCTATTGTTCCATCTACTTCGAAGAGCCACCTCACCCTGCCTAGTAACGCAGCCAAAGCAGCTATAACTTCTTTAAATTTATATAAATATATTATTATTAGATTAGTATTATTATTTCCTCATAGATTAAATTACAATGACTTAAATTAATATTAAAAAAAAAAAAACAAAGACTTGAATTTATATTTATATTTAAATAAAGAGGTTTTTTAGCATTTTCTGATGCCAGCCGTTGATCTTACTACATAAAACAAAATAAAATATATATTTTTGACAAATTAATCCGACCTTTAATAGGGATAACCGATCATCCTAATCCATAATGCAGTGCCGCTCAACTGAATAGGTTTGAAAAATATTTTTTCTATTTTTTCTTCTCTCTTTGTTCCTATGGCATTTTTCCTTCTTTCTTTTTTGTTTTGAACATTCATTTGTTTACTCATAATATGACAAAAAATATGTAACGGGTTCTATGCAACGGTAAATCAGAATATTTCTTTCATCGTGAAATTAGCTAAATGTGTGGTCTATTTTTGCTCATCTGATTAGGTTTGACAACTTTGACTTCACTTTTTGATCGACTGCGTGATTGAAAACATATAATTTCTTTGGTTTACTTAAATTTAAAGTAATTGCAACCATTTTTTTATACCCTGAACCCATTAACAATGTGTATAAGGGTATGTTGTATTTGTGCAAAACCCAAATGTATGTAACAGGCAGAAGGAAGCATCTCCGACCCCATAAAGTGTATCTATTCTTGATCAGCATCAATAGCCGAGTCGATCTAGCCATGTCCGTCTGTCTGTCCATCCGTCCGTATGTATGAACGCAAGGATCTCAGAACCTATAAAAGCTAGAAACTTGAAACTAGAATTGAATTAGATGTAGATGCTCCTAGTTCCCGCGCAGATCAAATTTGTTTCCGATAATCGATAACTTACTCCGTTTCCAAGCAATCGATAAAAATCGATATCGATATCCTGTTTTTTGGGCAATTTTGGTAAATTATAATAGCTAGTCACCAAACTTGACATATAGCTTCTAAAATAAAATATATATATGCATTTGATGTTGGAAGAAGAGGGTTTAGGGTATTCCCTAGTCGGGAGCTCCCGACTAGAATCTCTTACTTGTTTTTAATATGGGTCGGGGAAAATCTTTAACCGATTTTGAAAAAGGTAAAATTAAAGGCTATATATAAATATGGCCTAAAAAATAATGATATAGCAAAGAAGATTGGTCGAAGCCAAAACGTGCTAAGTAAATTTCTTCGTAATGAAACCGATTACGGGAAAAAAATGAGAGGAGGAAAAAAATCTGCTACAACGGCATCAGAGAGGCAACTAATCCGTCGAACTGCTTCGAATTCCCACCTCTCTGCCAGTAAAAACTGGGATATATGCGGTGTAAATGCTAGTTTGGCAACGGTAAAACGAGTTATTTGGAGTAAAGAGATTAAAAATAAAAAAAAAACCTCCTCTCAATTATGCACGGAAGGAAGCGCGACTGCGATTTGCGCGGGATCACATGACATGCAGCAAGGAGTGGAAGGCTGTGGTCTTCTCCGACGAAAACAAGTTCAATCTCGACGGACCGGATGGCTACAACTATTATTTTCACGATATGCGAAAAGAGGAATGCTTTTTGAGTCGTCATCAATCCTGTACAGGAGGCGTATGGTTTGGGGAGCCATATCGTTTTATGCAACTTGCGGGCTGCAGTTTGTTTCCTCAAAGATGAATGCAAATGTCTACAAGACTGCTCCAAAAGGCTTTTCCCCAGTTTTCCGAAATTTTTGGACCTATTAAGGATTAAGGATCAGAATGTCAACTTGCTCGAGTGGCCGCCATACTTCCCAGACACAAATATCATCGAGAACATTTGGGGACTTTTATCCAGGAGAGTGTATGAAGGGGGAAGACAATTTCAGGACTCGGCGACCCTGGTTGATGCGATTAAAAAAGCCTGGTCACTGAGTGAAATTGAAATGTATTACGATTCCATATCAACTCGAATGTTTGAAATAATTAAGAATAAGTGTGGTCATACCAAATATTAAATAATGCAGAAATAGTGTCTTTTATTATTTAAGTTACCAAGTACCATGAAATATTGGTGTGAATAATTTTTTTTATAGTTTTGTTAGTCAAACCTATTCACTTGAGCCAAAAATTATGTAGATTTTCAGCTATGTTTTTGAAAATCTAATAATAAAAATATGAAACCAAACAAAACAAAAAAAAAAAAAACGTATTTTATAAATATTTGATAGTTTTACTTAACAAAATTTATTTGGTTTAAGTCCGAGTGCTCGTAATGAAGACATTATGTTCTAAGTCTAAAAAAGAAGTCAGACCTATTCAGTTAAGCGGCACTGTATTTTTCAAAGCATGGTCTTAATACCTAAGATTTTGTAACAAATGATTTATTAAAGAAACTTACTGGACCAGCGGTATCAATAAAATAAGGAAGGTTTCCTCAGGATTCCTCTGGGATGTTTAGATATCCAATGTTGTTATCCTTGTTACCCCAAAGATATTCTCGGGCTGGGTTTTCACCACATTCATCGCGAGCAACAGCTACTAGTGGCACGTTAAGAAACTGGTCATAAATGAGGAGCTGTCCACGCAATTCATTCAACCATGTTCAATTCCTCATAGATGCAGCAGCCCCTGTCCTGTCTTACAGTAGACAATGAACTGAAAGACGTCATTCATGACCAACTCAGCTTGCATAGCAACGGTGCACATCGCAACGAAATACTGAAGAGTGCTTTCTCCTTTTGCTATCTTGTCTAAAGGTATTATTTAACTTCTCTTTAATGTCCTTTCAATTAATATTCCAGTATTGTTCACGTATTATTGCAGAAACGGTTAGCATATGTTTGGTATAAACAAATCGACTTTACTTTGTAAAGTATAGTTTCCTCGAAATTACGTGCTTACAATACAACACAGAACGCACCAAAGCTTCAACAATTTTGATGTTCAAAGCATCTTTTTGTACTGGCTCAGTGAGAGCTTCGGCGATCTCCATTTTCTAGCAGCTACAAGTTTTACCAAACAAAATTGGTCTGCAATTGCTTCGATCAAGTTTGGAACTGCACTAACCGGTTGCCATCTTTCCTCCCAGAATTTACTAACTAACTAACTTCCCAATCTGACGCTTGTCTTATAATCTGATCTTGAGGTTCTATACTAGTTGGTTTGAAGCCTCTTCATCGATCAAGATGTCAAACTAACAATTTAATTTACGATCGCATGTAATTGGTGGATTTGCCGTCAAAGCTTTCATTACAGTGCTTAGCTCTGATTTGCTTTTACGAACGATTTCGCCCACACCTGATATAATGAGTCTGCAGTCGTTTTTTTTCAATATCTTTATTACACAACATTCACAGTTACCTGTAAAGATTCTTCTGTAAAGATTCTTCCGCCCCTCAAACATAAGCCAGTTTCAAAATTCTTTCTTAGGTCGTGTCCAAGTGTCCAATTCAAATGAATACATATTTGTATTGTACTTTCTTGATTATATTATTTATTTATTACAAATAATAACTAATTCTTTAATTTTAAAATCATTTCTAGGAACTTTTTTGGTATGTTTTCTTCGTTCCATTATTAATTTCGTTTTCACCTAATTTAAAGAAGTTTTCCTATCCTTCCAAAGAAAATTAAGTAATTTAAGCAACGTCAGTATATTTATAGCCGCGACTGTCAAACTGACTCAGTTCGAAGCAAAAATCACATCTCCGAGTATTGTATAGTCGCTCTACACGCTTGAAGTCCGCTCAAATTGAAGGCAATATGGCCAAGTCCCCTCCCACAAATAGTTATCTTGCATCTGGAGTGATTTGCTAATAGATTTAAAAATACAAGGCTGTTAGTCAACAAGTAACTTCAAGTCCTTTTTAATCTTCAGTCAGCCTCAGGAATCTGACGCTCTTAACAAAGATCTTCTAGTTTACGTATAGACCTCTGAGCTACCCAAGGATGGCGATCACTGTGGGAAGTCATTACACAACAAGGTCAATATCCCGATGTGGAACGATCATAGGGTTACTGGAAAGCTACTTCACTCCAAAGGCGTGAAGCCTGGGACAAGAGTGCATGTTCAATCCAAGTTCGAACAAAAGGAGCCCCCTCCCAAAAAGGTTAATTCCTTTGAACGCAGAATGGAGTGGGACGCTTATACTTACAGAAATTATTATCTAAAAAGAATAATTAGTCAAGACCCGCAATGTCGAGAAAGGCCAGAACATAGACAACAGCAAAGAGAATAGACCAGTGGACATTTGTAACTATCCAAATCCAAAAAGGTAAACCATTTTATTTACCTATACTTTGAATGATTTGTACAGACGACGTCCCTGAATTAACCATTAAAAATATTGCAACAATCCCGGTTGCAACGATCTTCGTAACATTATGGCCTTTTACATTATAAAACACTTTAGACTTAAGTTTAATATTTAATCTTGTGTTTGGCGACTTTTCCATTTTATAATTTGCTTAAGGTAAATATATAAAATATCCCCCCTCTACAACAAATTTATTTTTAAAAGATATAATTTCATGTTATGATACTTACATTAATTACTCCAAAGGTTTTTAAATTTGCTGTTATTAAAATAAGCGGTAAGCCATTTCCTTCTCCAGTACTGTCAATGTGTTGCAGAACAAACTGATTTGGGAAAGATTCGCCTTGAATAACTGGCAATTTACTGTTTTTATTTGCCAAATTATTTTGACCATCTACAGTAACATGGTAGCCATTTGCATTGACTGATAATAGCAGTTGTACAAGGGCAGTTTTGTTTCTGATCTCATTATCAATAGCTGTTGATGTGATATCATTTATAATAAGGTCTAACTCTCTGTTGAAAGGTGCAAAATGTACTGGAATGGGAATGGATTGTGTAAGCATATGCTGTTCCATCATTAAAACTTGATCCTTCAGTTCATTGCTCAAAGATTGGACATCTTGTGGCAACATAATAATAAGACCCCCAGCCTTCTGCCGGATTTTGTTTAAATCGTTTATGGAAATATCGAGTAACCTAAAATATATTAATTATAATAAATATAGATTTTACATTTAATTTCGTTTACAAATAGTTGGTTTAAAACCCAACAACGCTTGAAAGCTAATATTTAATATTTAAATCTCTTTTTCTCTAAGTGATTTAACAATAAAAAGCTATTTTATTTAAGTTTCTTTTTATAAATAAACAACAAAATTATTATACAGAAAGGGCCCGAGCATACATATATGTAAAACAAGTAAGAGTTTCTAGTCGGGAGCTCCCGACTAGGGGATACCCTGAACCCTCTTCTTCCAACATCAAATGCATATATATATTCTATTTTAGAAGCTATATGTCAAGAAGCTATATGTCAAGTTCGGTGACTCTAGTTCTTATTAATTACAAAAATTGCCCAAAAAACAGGATATCGATATCGGTTTTTATCGATTGCTTGGAAACGGAGTAAGTTATCGATTATCGGAAACAAACTCGATCTGCGCGGGAACTTGGAGCATCTACATCTAAAATTTTAAGTTTCTAGCTCTAATAGGTTCTGAGATCCTTGCGTTCATACATACGAACGGACAGACAGACGGACATGGCTAGATCGACTCGGCTATTGGTGGTGATCAAGAATATATATACTTTATGGGGTCGGAGATGCTTTCTTCTGCCTATTACAGACATTTGGATTTTGCACAAATACAATATACCCTTATACCCATTTTTAATGGGTTCGGGGTATAAACACTGCCGTTTCCTTTGTTCAAACTCACACAAAGTGGAAATTACTTCTTAAACAACTTCGGTATTGCTTGATTGAGTGCAATTATTTGTTTTTTTTTTTTAATTGGCATGCGGATGGCATATTTTATGTAAATTCACAATTCACGAAAAAATTTATTTGGACAAAAATACTAATCTTCTTATTCACATTTCCACAAACAAACTTATATATCTAAACTATTATAGAAGCTATGAACACAGTTTGGCGAAAAAAAAAAATTGGTACCATTGCTTGGAAAGGGAGAGGTTATCGATTAACAAACATGTACTGCGCGGGCACTATACACTTTATTTTCAGTCTCTAGCCTCTTATAGGCTCTCAGATCCTTGCATTCATACATGCGGACGGACGACTAGGGGATACTCTAAACCCTCTTCTACCAACATCAAATGCAGCTCGCGCGACGATCTTTTTTACTTAAAAGCAGTAATAAAAAACAAAATTTCTCAATTGAAGAGGACCCGTAAAAAACTGCACTACGTGCCACCGACTCTACTCAACAGGCACACCAATCATAAAGTCATGCGGAGGAAAAAAACGAATTAATATAACAGCACAGAGAACAATACAATAACAATACAATACAGTTGCAATTCCAATACTGTGTTTAGAATTCGAAGCAAACACGCATGAAAGTGTACATGTATACAGGAGTTCTTGGAATTTGCGCTAGCTGCGGCAAATACGTGTTTCTAAGCCGATCTTAATTAAATTTTCTACAGTATATCTTATTGTACCATAGAATATTTGTGTACTCTCAAAAAACTTAATTGCATTAAAATTTCATTAAAAAAAAACTTGCATATAAAATATTCTAGAAAGCAACATATCAAGTTGGTATCTGTAGCGCTAAATATTTACCCAAACGGAGTAAGTTATCAATTATCGAAAACAAACGATCTGCGAAGGCACTAAAATTTCAAGTCTCAATCTCTTATAGGTTCTGATATCCTTGCGTTATACATACGGACAAACGGACGGACAGACAGACGAACATGGCTAGATCGACTCGGCTTTTGGTGCTGATCAAGAATATATATACTTTATGGGGTCGGAGATGCTTCCTTCTGCCTGTTACATTCATTGGCACTAATACATAATACTCTTTTGACCCATTTTCAATTGGTTCAGGGTATAAAATGGTATAAAATATTTCAATTAAATTGCAATTCTGTTAATAGAATTTAAAAAATGTGTCTCCAATTCTGACAAGTAGTTTCTACAATAATACATACACATCATGTATTCTTCATTTTATGTCCATTGTCACCTTGCAAAACTTTAAGTTAAATAAATAAAACAATTGAAACTAACTTCCCCCCTATTCAAGCCACATTTTTTAAGTTGTCATTTTGAGAATATACAAAATTTTTACTGCTGTAAATTTTATCAAGATCGGGTAAAAAACAAAAAAGAATTAAGTATTAGCAGGTTTACGACAGCTAGGACAAATTACAAAAATTTGAGAAGGAACTAACTTCATAATTTTAAGTCTGCAATTCTTTTAGATTCTGGGATCATTACGTTCATACATCATGCGGGCAGTTAGTCAGTCATGGCGATTCAAGAAAATATACTTTATGGGCCGCCTTCCGCTTGTTACATACATTTGCCAAAGCCATAACACCCGTTTTACCAATTTTTAATGAATGTAGGCAAGGACACCAAAGTGAAGTTGAGTGGGACGCAAATATTTCTTGTAACTTTTTGTTATCCAAAAGCCACACAATCGAATGCCTAAATTCGAGGCTTGTTGATGCTGACCTGAGCAACTTAATCAGTCAAAGAATTGCTTTTAGCAAAGCTATTTGACGATGTTCTGCGTCGTTTCGTTTTCACGGAACATTGAGTGAAAAAATTGTACAATGCTGACCGACGTTTAGTTCATTGACCTAGTGTAAGAAATAGCGCACATTGTGCATAAACACTCTTAATAAAATAACCCACACAAGAAGAAGCCAACGGCGAATCATCTATGTTTGTATTTGTGAATTATGCATTGATGAGTATAAAAAAAATGTATATGTTTAGTTATTTACTGCAGTGGCTTTTGCTGATTGTTAGTTTTCTAGAGGTGGCTTATCGCTTTCACATATTCACATATGCATGTTGTGTACTGAGGTTGGCTCTGTAGAAAATCAGTATGAATACTGCTTGACTGACGATCGAGCTTTTGAACTCGAATTTTGATTTTTGTTGCCATTTTTTTAAAACCAAAAAACATTTTGCTCTATGAAGCAAATAGACGTGTTTTTTGTGAGCTCTGTTTTCATTTGGATTTAATAAAACAGCAGTGTTTAATATATCTATTTGAAAATAAATATTTATTGAATCTGTTTCCTCTGTAGGTTTATTTTACTTTTATGGCAAGTGCATGCTTTTGGCCTGTGTATTGACACATATAAATTTTGTCAATTCGTAGCTTTGTGTTTTGTGAATTGTTTTTGTGCGCTAGCACTATTAGATCTTTCGGGCTGATTGTAAATGCTTATGTTGTACTCGCTTCTCATAAATAAAGCGAAAACCTTTTGATGATGACTCCTAGACCTTTTTTCAAACTATGCATTGATCTACCCTTATATGCAGCCGTGTTGGTGTTAAGTACGCTTTTAGTAATTTCTAACATTATTCTTTTACATTTGGTTGCATTTACTCAATAGAAAACTCATACTATGCTTGCTTAAGTCAATTACAGCAAGTCATTCAAGCTACCTTGTTGACGATGTGATAACGTAGCGCATTCTAACTGCGCAAATGCTATATGTGACAGCGGTACGAACTTTTTTATCCGAGTTGTCCGCTGTCGTAGTAGTCCCTACAGAGCGACGTAGCAATCAAATTTACAGAAGGGTCGTCGTTCGGATTACACTCTTCCACTCTCATACATGTGTTGCATAACGTATATTTTTTATTTCCAGCCTTGTCCCTCATTTCTTATTGGATTAGGTAAAAGCCTTTATACGGGAATGTTTAAGTTTTCCTATGAGAGGGAAATAAATAAATAAATCCTTTCAAATAATGTTCCACCTGTTACATTTAGAACCAATTGTTAAGAGTTTTAGGCACATTTAATAGTTAAAGAATACAAAGTCAAAAAGAAAATTCTGACTTCGATTTTATTACCACCTCCATTCAATGGTGCCTCAACTTTAGTTACTTCCCAGCCATTTGGTATTTTTAATTTCATATTTCTGTATTCCCTCACAATTTAACATGTCTATTTACTTAAGCCATTTTAAAGCACAGTGACTTTAATCTCCCAGATTCTGATTGGTCATCGCCAAAGGATTCACCTTTTTTGTTAGGTCTACATTGAAAGTCCTTACTGCAGGTGCGAAACACAAACAGATCTTTGATCCCTTTCATTCAACTTTGGATTTGGGCATTGATCTACCTGCCTGTGTACCTTCCTTTCAAGGAATCGAAATAAGCTGATTGTATCCGGTTATTTTTGTAAGGATTTACATAAGCTAAATTATTTCAATTATGCAGACATTGATGTTGTCATTCAACTATTTTATAAGCGCCCCTTTTGAATACCCAGCGAGGTCTAATAGTATGTCTGAGATTATGAAATGTGTAGTCGTGGTGCATAAAAAATTTACGAAATTAGAAATTCACTCCAATTAATAATGTTATGCAGCTGACTGATCAAACTTGTATACACAAAAATTCATATGTTATAAGGATAACCTTCAACCATGTTAACTCCAATCGTAATACTTCTATTTTGCCATCTCCGGCTAAGTTAGCAGATAAGAGAGTGATTTTCGACCAAGGTATTGCCGACCAAGGTTTACCGTTTGCACACTTTTTTCAAACTTCTCTAGGTATAATAAAAATCAGTCTTACGCTTATCAGTTACAGAGCTCAAACTGCGTCTTAAATTGTATTATTACTGAAAGTTTCCTATTCAGCGACCCCAACAGAATCAAGCCGGTATTCTCACCGGTCCCAGAAGGTGTTCCCGCATGTGACCTCAGTTACTGTTCTCCAGCACTATGTAAACCTACTCTAAAACATTAGGTATTATCTATAACCATTTCATTTACACAGGCTATTAGAAAAGAATAGTTATATTATTCTTCTAAATAGAAACGGAAATAAAATTCGAAGTCGAAAAGAGGTTTTCTAAATTATCTATCCCTAAAGCTTAGTAGAGTATCATGGGTTCGTGAAGCGTAGATATGCCACTTCTAATCTAATCCCTAGTATTTGGTGGTTTGAAAAAAATGCAGATTTATTTTAGTAGGGCTTTCGATTCCATTAATCACTTCTTTCTGGTTTACAAAGTATGCCCTTTCGGCTCACAGTCTAGCTTCTGAACTTGATATCAAGAAAGAACCCAAATGGTTATTTCCAAAAATTCGAATTCCGGTGACTTTGGGTGTGCCTCAAAATAATCACAGTAAACCGCTACTATTTACTCTATTCAATGACCTTTCCTCTAATGTATATAAAGTTGTGCCTTGCAAACAATCTTTTACAAGCCGGCATTGGTGCCTTTCTATCTAAACTGTTCAAAATGCAACGTAATGAGTTCCTATCGATGCCCTCCTCAAATGGTTTCTTACATCTTGATAGCTTACCGATTAAGTGTGTCAACATTCTTAATCATAAGCCTTAAAAAAAACAAGTTTGACGATCTGTACGAGACAAAGACCATATTAATATGGTATTTACAGTACACCAAAATATTATATTCGCCAAGACAGAATTAAATCTGTACTGAAACATTTCTTGTTGTTTGCCCTAAGTGCTTTAAACAGGGATCCTCCTTTGTGGCTCCTATCATACTCCTATTGACTTCAGATGTAATTTTTATTCGGAAGTTAATTACGGGTAAAATCGATTCGCCTGGGCTGACTAGCCAACTAAACTGCTCTATCCCTACTAGACCAACATATAATTATACACCCTTATAGTTTTAAATTTCTTCAACTATGTATGCCTTGCATAAGTTATTTAAGTTCATCTGGGATGATTATAACAAGCATTATAGAGCATTCTATTAAGTCTCCTCTTTCTCTTATATTGTTATATATTATAAGCTATTTGCTAAGTAGATTGTCTAAGTTTGTTTTTAACACGACCACGCCCATCAGTCGGTTTGGCGGGAGTTAGGATGCAGCATATTGCACCGGGATCGCACAAAAAACCAGTCGTACTCATAAAAGCTCCAGTCAACACTAGATGGCTGTTTTCGCCTGTTTCGCGACTAAAGCAATTCATTTTAATCTGGTCAAAAACGTTTATTTCAACTCGAGAAAACTCATCTCAAATATGGTAGGCAAAATATGCCAAATATGACATCTTAATTGAAAGCCCTTGCCTTGAGTGAGAATATCTGAGAATATCTGGTTAATGTGAAAAAACAGCTTGTGAAGGATTGGCAGATAAGAACCTGCTCGGAAACTACACCTACAACATCAAAAAAGGTAAATGATTTTGAAGAGCATTTCATTAGGTAATGCAACGGATTGCCTAGTGATGGTGTAGTTTCCACAAAGCCACAGCAAGAATTAAATTTTCAGCAGCTGGTGTCCCTACTGTTTTGTCTATTAAAATGTTGCGGTTCTTAGTTCTAAGTTGTTTAGCATTTATGTAGATTTGTTTGCTTTCAATTTCGATATTATCGCTTTTACTCAGACTTGGTTACAACCAGGCTTCTCTGATTCCTTAATATTTCTTTTCAATGCAACACTTATAAATGTGATCAAACTTCCCGTATCGGAGGATACATATAGCTGTTGAAACTGCTCCTTCGTAAGAACTCAGAGTTTTCCGAAACACAGTCTAAACCTGTAGCTTCATCACATAACGTAAATACAGTGAGCATTTCTGCTTCCTAGCTCTTACGGTACAGTCAGTCAATCAGGACAAACAGTTTTATATTTATAGATATATATTTAGTTTTCTCTGAATTTTGAAGCACATAAATTGTATCAAAAAAAGGTATTTCCCTGTAATTATAAATTAATTAATTATAAAAAATATATTTTAAGCTTTTCGAGTAACGACCAAAAATCCACACCTCTGAAGAAAAGTATTAAAAAAATACTACTTTTTAAATTACAAACTTCCAATATAGAAAAATGTCATATTTTGTCGCCTTATTTTAACAGATACAATCGACTTTTACTTTATAAATATAAACCAGATTAAGGATAGGAACTATTTTGGCTGATTTCCAGATTTCAAAAAGGTTTGATGATGAAAGGGAGTTTCTAATTGTTCGGCTTAGTAAGGAAAGATTTTGAGAAGTATGATTTTAAGAAATTTTTTAAGAATAGACTTGAGCACATCACAAATCAACACAAACAAATGTAAAATCAATTTTACAGTCGTTAAGCGGTGTACGGTTATGGGACATATCTGTGAATTACTTTCGGAGTCATATAGTTTTTAATTTTATTATTAAATTAATTTATATCAACTTCACCTTTTATCTTTTCCCACGCCTGTTTGTGCGATATTCCATTATTTATTTTATCAGAAATTATTTAGTTAAATACGACTCTTCTTTGGGTTTGAAATAGCCTATGACTTGGATTGTTTCCATTTTCTATGTTGCGTTTTCCTGTAAAACTTTTAACACATCGGCTTAACACGGAGAGATTAAAATTGTTTGACTGATTAACAGGTTGTGTCAGTGCAAATAAACGCAATTTTCTGTGTCTGATTTTTAGTTTAGTTTTGTATTATATATACGATTTGTAATGTATTTTGTCTGTGTAGTATGATTTTTCTGTAGGATTGTTGTCGCATTAAAATTTGGTATGCGATTGTTTTTCATACAGAGGGTCATTTGTGGTGTTTATTGTAGATTATTTTGATGTCTTAATTTAATGTCCGATTTTATATATCCATATCAATCGCCGAGTCGATGTAGCCATGTCCATTTAAGCTATCGTTGTTAAACTTTGCAGAAATGCCTCTTTCTGTAGCTACCAGTACATATATGGGCTGATCATGGGCGCAAAAGAAAATACATTATTGGCACGCGTCTGACGCGCGCCCTTCTTTTTTATGATTATTAATAAAATTTGAGTAAAAATAAAAATCTTTAAAATATACCAAATTAAAAAAAATAGGAGCGATTATATATTTATAGTTTTCATAATTTTGGTGATCAGTCACTTGACCTCCATATGCAGGTGCTTGCCAAAAGTTGACCCATTCGACCCTACGAACTGCTGCAGGTAATAAGGGGTCAACATTCATTCATCAAAATCTCAAAAAATAAGGCGCGCGTCAGACGCGTGCCAATAATGTATTTTCTTTTGCGCCCATGATCAGCCCATTCACAGACATTTGTATGTGTGTGTCTGTGTGTAAAGGTGCAAAATCAGAAATCCTAAAATCTTGTTAAATTTGCATCGGGGACAGGCAGGCAGGCAAGCAACAGGCACACAAGCGCATAAATGCTTCTATTCATACACAAAATATGCAAGTATGCGTGTATAGCGAGTCCAAAATATTCTAAATGCACACATGGCAACGCTTGGGTACCCTTACCAACGATAGCGAGCTAAAATGCAAGAGTTTCGCATCGACGTGGCAAACCCTTTCTCTATTTCATATTACTCGTGCCTTCAAAAGGGTAGAAATGCCTCAGCATTTGGGAAAAATTGAATTTGTGCGCAGTTTTGCTGGTCGGACAAATACACACACACACACATTGAAACGATCCCTAAACATAGAGAGAGCATTGAGAGCTGAGAGTAAGTGCGAGCGAGATAAAAGTTAACAGCGTTGCCGTTCTATCGTACAAATCATATGGAAGAGTGTGCGCCCAGCACTTTCCTGTAGAGTTTGGACCAGATGTCACCGATACATTTTGTGTCTACTTCTGCTACTCATGTCTAGTCTATATGTTGTTTGGTTAGTGCTCTAGCTCTTATTATTTACCAAAATTGCCCAAAAAACAGGATATCGATATCGATTGCTTGGAAACGGAGTAAGTTATTGATTGTCGAAAACAAACTCGATCTGTGCAGGCACTAGGAGCACCTACATCTAATATATCAAGTCTCTAGATCTTATAGGTTCTGGGATACTTGCGTTCGTATACATACGGACAGACAAACAGACCAATAATATCAGATCAATAATATATATGCTTTATGGGGTCGGAGATGCTTCCTTCTGCCTGTTACATACTTTTGGATTTTGCACAAATACAATATACCCATATACCCATTTTTTTAACAGGATCAGCATCAACAGTCGAGCTAAGATTGCCATGTCCGTCTGTCAGTTGCTAAGCGAACCATTTTCATCATATTACTTCCTTAGGAACGATCGGTCGAAAAGTAGGTTCCTGTATGATAAAACTTTGTTTAGTTAGATATATCCTCTGTGCACAAAACTTCAAATCTTGGAAAATTTGATTCGGCAAGCAACCAACACGCACAGAAACGCATAAATTCTTGTAGATAGGGCTAAGGCCCTTACCAATAACAAGCTAAGACGCAACAGATTCTCATTGACGTGGCAACGCCTTTCATTTTATACTACTTAATTTTTGAGCTTTGTTGCGTGTACAGTCACAAACACACATATATACATATGTATATATTTAAATGTATATATTCATTAAAATAACTGAGAGCTAAAGCAGCTCACTGTAGTAGAAGCACCAAAAAAAATGTGGATGGCTTTCTATCACAGAAAGAATGTTGCTCTTATTTAAACGTTGTCAAAATGCGAATTAGAGTTTTGTTTTGCTTCTGAATTTGTCATATGCTGGTAAGCGAACAATTTATTATTGCAGTCAAAACAGAAATAACAAAATAATTTTTTCACTTTGTGCAGAGATATCCTTTAAATATACTTATGCGCACTATATTTTCTTCTATATGAAAATAAATAAATATGTACATATATGGAGTTGGGCTTTCGTAAAAGCAGCCCGGCGCTAGCTATTAAACTAATTGTTTTAATTACTTAACATAGTTTATGAATGATCTAATTAGATTTCATTGTTCATAAAAAGATTAATATACATATGGGTTAACCAAAGTTATTGTTGTCCCACCTGAGCAACAAAAATCTTTAGAATTTTTTAATTCTTACCTTGCTAGAACACAATGTCGACCTGTACTCCAAGTATACAACGATTTAGCTTCTAGGGATATAGCTGAAGATCGAGAACCTATAAAATGTTGCACACAATTATGAAAATATTTGTAGTTTTTATTTAAAAACGTATTTACCAAGATATTCGCCATTTACATCAAATTTTATCATTGACATAACTTGAAATTCACTAGCATGACCTGGCGAGCAAATTATTAATATCGGCAAAGTTAGAAGAAGACAATAGGGCAAGCCACCGCGAAAGATGTCAGCCAAGTTGACAGCTTCATTAAACATTTTATATTTATTATTAATATATTTTAATTACAAATAACGTGCCACTACTATGTAACCCTATTTCTATTTGGTAGATCAAAAACTACTCGTGATTGACAAGAAAGTGCATTTTCGAAACATGCATAGTCGTCGTTAATTTTGGAATATGGAAAAGAGACATCCTGAACTGGTTTCTCAACTCTTTAAAAATTATCGATTAAGCTAACATGTTCTCAATTGATTGCATTCGCGTATAGCATTTACGGAGGAATACAATTTGCCATCAAAGAATTTTATATTAAAGAATTCAAAATTTTTACATTATTTCGAAGCCCATATCCGAGAAGGTGATAGTCGGAACGTTATGCAAAATCCTTAAATTCTAAAAAAAAATTATTGTTGGGAAATCCAGTAAAGCTGAGTCATTAAGTATTTACAGTTAGTGCCTGGTAAATATTAACCGCCATTACAGTGGATCATTTCTTTGAATATTAATTATTTTAAAAGAATTTATTCGTAAAAGTCTTCAAAGGAAATCTAGTGCATCAAGAACAAATGAAAATATTCTAGGGACCTAAGCATTTTTGAAATTGAAAATAATATAAATAATAAAATATTTATTTCTAAATTACTTCGGTATGGTACATTTTAATGCTCCCTGCAATCTTGGCAATTTTTTTTAATAGTGTCAGCTCTCCAACCATTATTGATCTCTTCGCGTTTCAGATATCGGGGCTGAGAGGCTGCCGGTTTTCGAATGCTTTTATTGGAAATTATAATGAGAGTTCAGTTAGTAATCATACAATGTATAGATATACCAAATATATACCTATATATATATATATATATATATATATATATATATATGCGCTGAGCGAGATATGGCTTCATATTGAAAGTTCGGCTTTCGAGGCTGGCGTTCGGCTGCCACTCTCGGCAGCCTTACTCTGTCTAGGTACACTATAGTGGTCGTAGGAACTTTGGGGTTCCCTTGTTGCTATTTATCGTGTTGCGATAAAAAGGGCTATTTGGTATATCTGTATATTGTATGTTTAGTGGTTTAACCTATCTCAAAGCTTTGGATGAGCGACGTTGTCACGGTCGCCGAATGTAATGAAGCGCATATATTTCTGCGTACATTTATATGTTATATAAACGCAATGCATATACATGACCATATCCATGATTACACTACACCACTCCTGTTGAAAGGAATAATGTAATTTATTTAAATAAACATTATAAAATTATTCGAAACCTAAGATTACACGGTAGATTGGTTCTTGGAAAATCCGTGCAAAACAAAATCGTGTAAAACGAGACACAGAGTTCATACAAAGTAAACGGATATGTTCAATTAACCTGAAAACCGTGTAAATCGATCTTAAGAAGACAAAGAAAAATCGAAGATATGTTCATTATAATCGTGTGAAATGAGATTACTAGAACATATTCTACTGCTTCTATCAATTCATCTCGTTGGAAAATATGTGGAAAATTTTGCGCTTACAGTAGTTCTAATGGCTAAGCTTTATCGAATATAATCTTCCAATCGCTTTATTGTCCTAATAGTTGCCTCATTCATACCATATTCTTTTGCTACAGATGTTGAGGCTTGTCCAGATTTTAGTTTGTTTAAAACTTCAATTTTCTTTTGCTTGCTTTTTGTTGACATTATAGGGCTGTATTAAAATTAAATTACGAAATAATTTTTAAAATTAATTAAGTGCCTTTTTTCACGTGCTATTAGAATTCAATTCAACAAATGGATTCGAAGTTTCTTCTTTTTCATGCACAATGACATTCATTTGCAAACTTAAAAGATATTGTAGATATTTATTCCATTCACAACAGGCCAGTCACATTATCGGTGTTTTACACGTTTTAAACAAAAAAAACTATCAGAATACAAAAAAAATTGTTTTGTTGCGATTTGAAAACCGTGTTAAAGCGAAACCGTGTATCTAGCAATAAGAGTATGTTTAATTTTTATATAGTGAGATGGCATATTGATAATGATTGAGTTATTTTAATTTACTATAATAATATAATACATTTGACGTTTTTTCTGTTTGTTAATTAAGCTTTGTTTTTCAATATTTTCTGATTTGTTTATGTCTTCTTCTTGCCTGTAGCAGTATTGAGTATAGTAATAATCTGTCTATATGAGCTGTTTGTCTTATGTTTTTTAATATTATTATATTATTCTTTTTTACATTCATATTCTCATCTCTGTATAATTATTTTCTAGCTTATAACCTATGTTATTCTTTAAAATTCTTTTTTTTTTATATCATTAACCTTTGTCATAAATTAATAATTCTTTTAGTTTTGACTCATTTAACATACCTTCTTTTTTCTAAACTACTTTTACTGTATATATATTTTTTTCGAACAGTTGACGACTTAGCTCTCTGAGCTCTTCCATAATGAACATGCATATTTTAAGTTGGTGGTTTTGTACTGCTTTATTTGATTGGTAGGACGTTTTGTGGGCGGCTTCCTGATCATTCTTTAAGTCGGGTAATGACGATATTCTTTAAACGTAAAATGCAGCGTTATCACGTTAGATTTGAAATAAAAACATACTCAGCTGCTGCTGAGGTTGCTGCAGACACAATTTCATTTTCACTTTTGTCTTAAAATCAAAAAAGGTTTTTAAGCATGTATTTGTAACATTTTGCCCCCCCCCCCCCATATAAATCAATGATTGTTGTCGCTGTTTGAGGTAGGTTTTTAAAATGACTTAAATGGAAATCATTAAAAGAGCATAGCAAATCACGAGAGAGTTATCAGTAGAGAGTAATTGACGTGTTTTACTTGTACTCCAAGATTTTTACGCTATAATCTTGCTTTTTATTTCTAAATTTTGCATTTCTTGTGCTTTATTTAAAAAGCTATAATAACTTGTGAAAAGACTATCTTTTTTGTAGCGTAAGTTTGTTAATTATTGCATTTAATAAACGCGGCGTCAGTTCCGTACTGCTGTTTTTGTCTGTTTTGATTCCTTTGCAAGTGCATACACTTGTTAGTACGTGTGCTCGCTGTTGCATAATTCTGCTTTTGCATCGCGCTCTCGATAATTTTTACTGCTGCTCTTGGCTCCAAAAAATTGTCTTTGTGCAAATAGTTATTTATTGAGCTTTTACAATCTCTATTTTTGTGCACCGTTTTCGTTTTGTTCTGCGCTCTCGCATGCAACATGCATTCTTATCTTTTAACGCTTGTAGTAATTATGTTGTGCTGTAGGAAACCTTGCACGTTCAAATAGGCTGATTTTGCATTGTCGTTACTCTGTTTGCTGTTAATTGCTTTTGTAAATTGTGTGCGGGTCTCACTGGGCGTGATTGTGACGAGATCGTTGCAATTGCCAAGAAAGGCTGCGGCTGGTCGTGCCCAGAATGCATTGACAAGCAAATTGATTTCTTCAGAATGTATAATTCTGTGAGACACCAATTCTTAAAATTTAATAGCGTGGCTAAGCAGCTGGCGAGTAATTTTGACTCGAGTTTTGAACCAACCAATCGCCGGTTGGACCTTTAATTTTCGCAGTTGCCCTCTCCGTCTGTCCAGACAACTACGCCTCTTTTGTCCCTGACTAGCAACTTGAATTTATCTCCCTGTTTTATCTCTTGTAGTAATCCCATTAAACCCCCTACCTAAACCTGTCCCAGTTAGCCGAACCGCCTCAGCCCCGTCAGCTGCTGAACGCAGAGGTAGACCTGCGGGCAATCTAGCCCAAGAGAGAGGGAGAGGGATAATGTATGATTCCTTCCAAATGGTCGGATGATGAAGTGTTTACGGACAATTCAAAAAGTTTTAAAACAGGTTTACATAATGCTGCAGCGCAGTAACTAAGCACGCAAGCAGGAACACCACCAGGCTTGATAGTGTTAAGCTCGCTAAGAAGCGAACTTTCGGTAATAATGGGATTTCAGATGCAGACCTCTGTAGCTGGTAAGGATAAGGCTGATTTTTATTATACCTAGAGGAGGAGTAGGTAGTTTGAAACAACTAGGGGATACCCCGAACGCTCTTCTTCAACATCAAATTCTATATTCTATTTTAGAAGCTATATGTCGAGTTTGGTGACTCTAGCTTTTCTTATTTACCAAAATTACCCCACAAACAGGATATCGATATCGATTATCGATTGATTGGAAACGGAGTAAGTTATCGATTATCGGACACAAACTTGATCTGTGCAGGCACTAGGAGCACCTACATCTTAAATTTCAAGTCTCTAGCTCTTATAGGCTCTGAGATCATTGCGTTTATACAGACGGATCGACTCGGCTATTGGTGCTGATCATGAATATATATACTTTATGGGGTCGGAGATGTTTCTTCATGCCTGTTGCATACATTTGGATTTTGCACAAATACAATATACCCTTATACCCATTTTTAATGTGTTCAGGGAATAAAAAGTTTGCAAATAGATCGGCTATGCCCGGATCAGTGTTCGTGCTCTCATCGCAGAAGAAGGCAAAATATATGTCTTTCGTTTAGAATTGACAAGGATTGTGTGAAAGCTGAAGCCGACAACGCCCAACTTTTTATAACACTTCGACGTCACATTTTTTAATCTTATAAGTTCCTTTGAGAACAACGAAGGCCTATCAGGCCCCACTATGTGATCAAGAGGTACGCAGACACCAAAAATAGAGTTCAAGGTATCATAAAAAAGTTTAATGGTAACATCAATGTCTGCACATTTGTACAACTGGGACCAGTGGTCTTGCAGAATAAGATCATTTGGCTTATGAAAATAAGCCTTTTGGAAACAACGCAAACGTTCAACTAATTGCGGATCCTTGATAGGGACTCGGGCTGGTAAACCAATGACCATTTCCAGAGTCTCCAGGGTCTTCAGGAAGTGTAAGCTTATTGATACTGTGCACAACACTGTTGAACGAATTCAACACGAAAATAAGATCAACCGATCTGTTTCTTGAATTACGCACACGATTAACCTGCCGTAAGGACATTTCATGTAAACCATCAATAAATTTGTTAGACGAAGACGGCAACAGAAAGTTTAAGTCTGATGGCGATGACCACTCGACATATGGAAGATGAAAGTCCCCAAGAA